CAAAAATTGGCTTTTAAAGTGGCTTTTAAGCAAGTTTTGAGAAAGCTTTCATGGAACTTGCTTAAAATCTACTTTAAAAGCCAAATTTTGAATTTCCCTCTATCAAATTTTCAAATTTGTGAGAGAAGAATTTGCTCTTTCTCTCTTCCTTTTTTTATTAGCAGAAGAATTTACTTTTCAACAAGTTGCATTTTTTAAGTTTTGCCAAACACCCTCTATCTAATTAACGTAGGGGAAAGTGGCCACATCAGAGTGAGTTTGTTTTTTTCTTCTTCTTTTTCTATTTTCCTTATTGTCAAAATATGCCACGTCTGTGTTTTTAATTCACATCAGCCAAAGTGGAAGGAAGTTAATGTTCACTTGTGTGCATGACTTTTTGTCCACTTAGGTGTTTTGGTTTTTACTAAAAGTTGCTGTGATTTGGTGGCAAAAATAAAATGGGTGCAAATTGCGGACAAAAAAAATGTACAGGGGGCAAGTTAGGGGTTTGACCTTAATTATTTTGTGACATAGTGTATCATCAGAGCTAAATTAAACCAAATTTGATGCATTTGCAGACAGGGAGGAAGCCAAGTGGATTGTGCGGTGCTGCACTGTATATATCTGCACTTTCACATGGTCTCAAGTGCTCCAAGTCAGATATAGTAAGTCAACGTTATAGTCTGTTTAGTTATTTTCCCTTTTAATATCCAATTTGGCACTCCACAGCTCTGAATGCTACTCTCTTTTTCACCCCTGAAACTCCTAGTTTTTTTGGTTTAACACACTAGACTGAAATTCTTTTTAAGAACAGGACTGATAGTCAGCCGCTTTTTATATTAATATGACAGCATAACATCAAAGTGAAGCCCTAATTTGGCTATTAAACTTGTGTGCAACCTCAGGGATTTGAATTCCACAAAGGAACTGGAAAATCTGATGCTGGAAAATGGATTTGTATCCTAATTTGTGGGATTTGTAGCCCAAATACAACTCTCTATTGTGTTCATATTGAACAACCTTGGTAATCATTAGCTTATGAGTATCCTTTAGCTGATAGAAATGATATATGAAATGATAGGATTCTAGGAGTGCTAATTTTGGGGCTTAACAAGATGTTATTTCCCATTGATGTCATTACTTTAATTGAGGTCTGGATTTGGTTGCTTTGTTACTTTGACTGTAATTCTGGATGATGTTTCATTGTCCTATTTTATTTGCTTTTGTAATTTTTCCATATCTTTCAGCCTCCCCCTTTCTCTAAATGTTAGCAAATACATATTTTTGTTGGGATAAATATCTGAGAATTCCAATATTATCAGATGAGGATTGTGCATATTTGTGAAGCAACATTGACAAAGAGGTTGATTGAATTTGAGAATACAGACGCCGGGAGCTTAACGGTATGTGTTCTGCTTTGTGGCTTTTGTAAGCATCTATTTCTCTGCCCAGGTGCACAGCTCATGAAATTATTTATGTTATTATTGGTCTTATGTTTGTGAAATCGCCTTTTGAGACTTTTCTTGGATTTGTTTAACTTGTTTCAATGTGTTTTTTTCTTTCTTTCTTTTTTCTTTTTTTCATTTTTCTAATCTCATCTTTGAGTAGAAAAGTCTCAAAAGCAGTATTCCATTCTGTTTTCTGATATGAATAATTATTTTTCTGATTATTGGCTTGTTCTTTTGCTTGATCGTCTAAATTTTGGTAGTTCAAATCTAGAAAATTTGGTTTACTATACATTATATAGTTTTTTTGATCTTGAAGACAAACTTTAACTGTTATTGTCATTATTCTCACTTTGTCCTTTATTTGATATCATTACCACGTTAGGAAAACTAAAACAGGGGAATGAGAGTAAATAATACAGATAGAAATGCTTATTGCTCTTTTTTTTCTGAGTTATAAACCAATTACGTAAGAAGCCTTTATATAGGCATTGATGCACACCCTAAATACAATTAACCATATTGACTAAATAATATATAAGATCCATTACCATAATCAACCTAGTCAACCACTTAATATGATTGGTTCCATAATAAGTTAATACATCTTAATAAGCTGAACTGAAAAAGTTTTAAGAATGTTTTAATGTATTACAGCATGCTTAGTTTATTACTTTCCATGCTACTGATTTTCCTTTCTTCAATTCAAATGTTTGATGGAAAAAAAAAAAAAAAGAGAATATCTTAAATTCATTCATGATTTCTCTTTCTCCCCCAGATTGAAGAGTTTATGGAAAAGGAGAAAGATCTTCAAGCAAGCTCTTCCATGAAACAAGCAAATACTGTGTCCAGCAAGAATGAGGTGCTTTGTCAACATAGGGAACAGAAGCCTGTTGCCTATGGACTTTGTCCAGAATGTTATGATGATGTAAGTCCTTCCCAAATATTCTTTCTCCTTTTTCATTCCTCTCTTCAAACTGCAGCAAATAAACCGGTTTTCTCCTGTTAACTGGTTGTGCAGTTCATGAAAGTTTCAGGAGGACTTGAGGGAGGATTTGACCCTCCTGCTTTCCAGCGTGCTGAGAAAGAGAGATTAGCAGAATCATCCACAGAGGAAAATGCTAATGTAAGTGGTGTCATTAAACCTTTTAAAGGCATAATCACAGTCAGTGGTTGTATCTGCAAGCTAATCTTGTACCATATTTTTTACTTCTGGCTTTGAAGTTTGTCAACTTTATTTCCTTTGAAGTTTTTATTTTTTATTTTTCATTTTTCGGGTGCACCTTTTTCTTAAAGTTATTTAGAATCTATATTTTGCTACAATATTAAAATACGTTGAACACCCATAACTTGTAAATTGAGTGATTGTTGGTTATAGCTTGCAATCAGAACTGTGCTTGGATCTTTGTTGTAGAATACATTGAACATTGCAAATTATCTACCAGAGGATATTAGCAAATTTTTTCTTTTCTGATTGTAGTGTTTTGAGTTTTGCTTCCATCAACATTGTCTACTAGAGGGCCATGATTGTTTGCACATTCTTGTTACAGATGTTGAGAGTCTGAATCTTTGCTAGTGACAGAAGATTATATAAGGCTGCTAAAGAGACATTAAATATTGCTAATTCTGAAAATGTCTTTTGTTCTTGGATTTCTCATAAGGGGATTCCAATGCATTACCTGTTTGTCTCCATTCAGTCTCTGTCATATATGCTTCAAAATTGTTGATGGATTTATAAATTTTTCTATGATGCTCAGTTATGGATGTATGTATTTCATTCCATGCTGCTGATTAAGAATTTGCTTGTGACTGTATTATGCTGTTAATACTTTGAGGTTAAGCTGCCTGAAATTATTGTTACAAGATTATAAGAAATGCCTTTTTCATTATGTCTTTTTCTCTTTTATGAATTTTCATTTGCTATATTAGTCATGTTTTGATTACGTTTCATCTCTATAATTGTTTTGTATCCATTACTTAGCATTAACAGTTTCATCTTTTTGGCTTTTTTATTTAAAAAATTCAAGGAAGTATCGAGAAGCCAATTCTTGAGCAAACAAGAAAAAGCTAAAGGTTTTGGTAAGTTTCATTTTCCATGTATGTGCACATGATTTAATACTGCAACTGTTTTCCTATATTCAAATCTCCTCTGGAAAGTAATAACTTTTCTGAGATTTCAGATGCCACAACTAAGCAAGCAGCCTTTCATGAGGTTACCAATGATGAATTGCCTGGGATTGATTCTAGTGCTAAAGTTCATGATGAATCAGACAACTTTGATGACATAGATGATCTTGAGGTAAAGAATGAAGTCTCCTTTAGGTGTCAAACTAGTTAGTGTGGTTGTGTGCATTTTAATTCCTGGTCCTTCAGTCTAATAGCATGATCTCTCCAATATTTGACAAATCAAATCTTATTATGCACTCACAGCTCACTAGTGTAAGTTTTGATCTGCTTTTAGCTCTTTTGCTTTCCTTGGGAAACAGCAACCTTTGTACTCAACAATCTAAGACACTCTCCCAATCAGATCACTATGAGTTGATAGAATGGCATAAATGATTGTCTAAAAAATACATTTTATTTTGCTTAGTGCAACAAATAGAATTGTATATATTTGCATGACAATATGTCAATTTGGAATACACTTCCAAAGAAATCTCTTTTTGATATTGAAGTGTCTATACTTGGTTATCTTTTGGAGTTGACACTCTGATTGGTTATTTGATTCGAACCATCCATTAATCTTTATGATGTGCTTGCCACGTGTTATGGTATTATGCATACAATGGATTCATTTTTGAGTGCAAAATCTGCAAGCAGTATTTGATGTGGTTATGCAAAGAGAATCCTTGGACGATTGTCAATTGGGCCATGTTGTTTGGGGTTATTTGTTGCACAGTCACGTACACACATACTTATCTGCATTGTTTCTGATAATGTTGGTAATTCTAGGATCTAGGAGTAATTTTATTTGTTAGTTTATTTAAGTTTTTGTTTAGTTTCCTGTTTATTTGTATGATCATGGATTCATAATTCAAGTAGGATTAATTTTGTATATCAATTATATTTTGGAATTGCTGAGTGCACATCATGGTGAAAATTGTCATGCCCCTTGAACAATGGCCAATTTATTGCTTAATCCATGTGTTTCTTTTTTCTTTTCTGTTCTGTCATTATTTTTCTCAACACTTGAAATTGTACCTATTGTACCTATATGTAGGTTGATGGGTATCTTCACAATGAGGAGGAGAAGCATTACAAAAAGATAATTTGGGAAGAAATGAATAGAGAATATCTTGAGGTGATGTCAACTGTGCTTTATTCAATTAAGCATCTGACTAGATGTACTTTTTCCCATACACTAATGTCACAATGTAACTCTAATGTTCACTATATTAGAGTGTGCCTCAAATTTCTATGTATTTTGTAGGAAGTTTTGGCAGTTCTTTTTTGGAATACAAATGTGCCTAACTGAACGATTTTATTTAAAATGTAATTCTTGTTAATCTGAACACTTAGAAAATAGAAAACTATTGGATGGTTGTCTTCTGTGCTGTTACAGATTAAACTTGATGGGTTTATATTGGTTTTAGGAGAATTACAAAATTCTTGTTAGGTTTAGTGTTAAAAATATACCCTCAATTTTGACAGAAAGGACTACTTAACCCTTAACAGAGCAATGCCCAGGAAATTTTATAAATTTTTAGGTAGATAAACATAATTTCTTTGGAGAATTACATTGAAATGCCCAATTTGTAAGAACTAAACTTTTAAGGGGAGGGAATGTGTATTAGTTTAACTACAAAAGGAAGTTGATTTGGATGCAATTAGTTTTCTGTGCAGGCTTATTAGTTTCCTATTCTATTTGGAACTTTACTTTCTCTATGATATTTTCCTATCACTTTTAGTTTCTTTTAGGATTTCTTTTGAGTGATTAAGATATTTTAGGAATCCCATTTTAATTAGGTTAATCTTTTCGTATTTTATCTAGGTCTTTATTTTAATTAGCTTACTCTCCCATTTCTGTTACTAGGATTTTATTGTAGAACTACCACATAAAGACTTGTTATGTCAATAACTATTCACAAGTTTTTCATTAATAAATATTCAAAAAATTTCAGAGATTTTTCTCGAATTTTCTGTTAGGTTTCCATAGTTCTTGTGGATTCCAGATTTGTTTTGCTTTGCAATCAGTGTATGGTTTATTTTAAACCAAAATCTGGAGGAGTGTTTAATTCCTAATTACTAATTCATGAAATCTAGATATTTTTAGACAGTGAAACTCGGTTTCACCTAACTTTGATTTCTCACTTCTCTTAACATTGTTAATGAAGCATAAATGGATCTGCACTTGAACCTAATTATACTGCTACTTTGACAGGAACAAGCAGCCAAGGAAGCAGCTGCAGCAGCAGCAGCAGCAGCAGCAGCCAACAAAGCACATATGGCCAACAACAATAGTTGTCCAGAGGGATTGCATAAGGCAAAGGATCTTGCTGCAGCTGTTGCAGCTGCTGTGGCAAAATCTAAAAAGGTGATTTCTGAGTTTTCAGAAATGTATGAGAAGTTTCATAATTTATAAAGTTTGGAAACCAAAAGATCTCTCCTACAGTATAAAACACAATGCAGATCACCACGTTCAATGTATTAGTCTCATATAACCTTCCTAAAATCTTATTTTTTATGTATCATGTGTCAAGCAGAACAAGTGTGCATAAACTCATTGGAAAAATATGGGGGTTAAGTGATGATGAAAAATGTTGTAATGGAGTTTTAGGCAGTGGCTGCATGGCTTATGTTTTTAGTTTTCAAGAAATTAGCCTTCTGTTTCTTAATCCATTCCAACCGCTCAAAGCAAACCCTAAATTCATCCTTAATCCCTAGACACTCTTTCTTATAACCTAATCCCATAGAACCCTAATTTCTAGTCTTTAAACCCCCCAAAAGACCTTGTGGACAGCTTTGTCAAGGCCATCCTATGTCAATTTTTTTTACACATTTTCATCTTTTCTCCTCTTTTATTATCTCTTTATTGACAGGAAAAGCAACAGAAACGAGCTGCTGAAGCAAAGAACTGTGCCCCAGCTCAGACTCCTGCTCAAGCAACTCTAAGAATGCTGACTAGAAAGGTTCCATGAGATTACTGTCAAGATTTTTTATTTATTTAATTTATTTATTTTCTATTCAGATTCAAGGGCTGTGCCTTCTTGTTTTAGCAATTCAACTGCTACAATTATCGTTTCGAAACTAAAATTAGTTTTGGATATGAAACTAAAATTAAATCAAAGGATTTTTTCCAATTATTGTAGAGGTTTGAAATAATTGACAACTCTAAATTAAAAAATCTCTTCAATTTCTTTCTTCCAGCTAATAGAAGCACTATTTTATGCTTAAATTCCTTTGAAAGGAGCTTTACCTTCGGATTTGAAGAGCAATATTGAAGAAAATGAGTACAGTAGTTCCAACTTCCAAGAAAAGCTTTGCATTTTCCATGATAACCTTTGCATCCCTACTACAGGACTGATGCCCTGAAATTCCCTTGATAGCTATAGGATCCATTGCTGTTCTTAAAATCATGACATTAGGTGGTCCAGAGGTTGTTAAAGTGATTGCATAATTGTTACAACTTCCGAGTTTTCATCCTCAGGCAGAGACGAGGAAAACTTTTCTTAAGTACTAAAGGATCAAATCTGAACTAAAGATTTAGTGGTAATCCTCATCAAGGATCTGACATCGTATTTGTGTTATCTGTTTTTATAAGATAAAAACCTTAATTTTTCCACATAAAACAATGTTGGAAGAAAACTTCTTTTTCAGTGGCCTTGGTTGAAACAGAATTTTCATAGTCAGTCTTATTTTCAAATTCATGATAAGAACTTTTTGATGAAATTTTAGAGTTGATGTTATGATGACAAAAATGATATCAAGAAAGGATCATTGAATGTTAAGAGAATCTAGGAAAAAATGTTCTTTATTTGATCTACAATTGTTCAAGGTACTTCTTAGGAAGTATTATTCGGTTTTTAGTAACTCTTGTTGTTGTTATTATTCTATGTTTCCTTTAGGTTTGGTTTGATTTTAAGAGTTGAGGGTACTTATGGTTTCTGTCTTCTGGGCTTGGGGTGGACAATAGTTTGTTGGATATCCTTGTTTGTTTTTATTTTAGTCCTAGAGTTTGGTATTTTACTCTCAATGTCTGATTGGAAACCTAGGTCTTTCTAGGACATGATTTCTAATTTTCAATGTCTTAGGACTAGAATAGAAATGTTTATACATCTAAGTACTCTGTTTCTACTTTCAATTAATGTTGAATGCTCAAACTAGTCAGAATTTTACCATGATTGTGGTTTTGTTCTTATTGTGATTGTTTGATGCCTTGGCAGTCCTGGATATGAAACCTTAAGGTGCCTTAGTCAAGCCTATATCTTTATATTCTCTGTCCTTTAGCAGCACCATTACAGCTATGTCTGCCAGCATCTACTAAACATGGCAATGTACATAAAATTCTGACAGACTAACTAAAGCAGTGTTGCTTTGTGTGCATTTATTCACGTTTGTGTGCATGTGTCCTAGTTTTGTGTTTTGTAATTTATGGGCCTAATGTGTGTATGTAGGTGTGCATGAATGTCAGTTTGCTGTTTTATATACATAATTGCTTACTTTATCCCACTAATTGATGGATATCACTATGCTTCTGTACAGAGACTCAGCTCAAAAATCAACCAAGATGCTTTGGAGAAATTGTTTAATGAATCTGTAAGTTTATCCATATCTTACTATCTTTTAAATCTCAAGTATTATTATCCATTTTTCTTCCCTTTTTTTTTTTTGGCTTTTTTGGGTTTTGGCATAAATTCATTCAACGGCTTCTGTCTTTGATTTGATATAAAGAGCCCTCTCCATGCTCCCCCCCCCCCCCCAAAAAAAAAAAAAAAAAGAAGGAAAATGAACAATGAAACTTTTTTTCTTCTTCTTCTCCTTACTAATCACAACATGAATTCGCTATTTTCATTTCCCTGACTACCAGACTAGTCACTACAGATTATGCTCTACTAAATTGCATCCAATAGGATTTGAACCTGACATGAAAGGTTTAGAAGACCTCTGTCCTAGCCATTAGGCAATGTCTGCTTCTATGTTAAATAAGATGCTTGTGTTTAAGGCAAAGTAAAGCTTTAATATTTAACACGTGGGTTGAGAGATAGTTTTTGTTAGAATGGTCAAATCCACATATTTTTAAGAAAAATGTGTAACATAGAGAAAAACTTGCATGTGCTATTGTGTGAAATCTTATCAGAATCAAACTACTAAATACCATGTCCTTATCTTATAATTTGTATCTAGAACTAACATGATTAAGATAATTTTGTTGATTCTCTTGAATACAAGTGTTCTTTTCTGGTTGAATCTGTTAATTCTGTAATTCATCACTAGGGAATCATGACTTTAATGCGGGTGCCTAGAAAAACATCAGAATGAGGTGAAACAAGTGTGGTAGAGCAAGGAATTGGTTTGGTTCCATGTTTTTTCCATTGGGTTTGGTAAATCCTTCCAATCAAAAGATTTTTTAGCATTCGATAATGGATTATCTAGTACCATAAATGAGTGGAAGTTTTTTCTTTCTTCCTATAATTTAGGCTCCGTTTAGTATGGGTTTGGGTTGAGTTTTTACTTTTTATATATGTAGTAAGGATTACTATATTTAGAAAATCAAAATTTATTATAAAAATTTGAATTTGTTAAATTTAATTCAAATATAGTACTAGTTACTAAATATAAAAAGCAAAAAGCAAAAACCCAAAATCACAATCATAATAAATGGAGCTGAACTAACTTTAGCTCAACATAGAGTAAAGCTGTTTACGAGTAATTGTTTTTGTACAACAAAGTAATAAGCAAAAAATTCTGCATTGCTGAAGTAATAAGCACCCAGATCCCTGTCAAAATGCTGTTGTTTTTTAATACAATGGAAGTTAGATACTCATCAATCACAGATGTTTGACCCCATATCAAGGTTACCATTTGGTTGGTACCAGCTCAGTGAACCTCTTGTCGGTATCAAACTGCTCTTGTTTGTTGTTCTAGAATGGCAACTAAAATATACACTGTCTACTTGTTTACAAACTTTAACCTTGAACTTTTATTCAATTTGTTTTGTTTAATCATGCATGTTTTGTATCTACAAGTTAGGCAGTCTGTTTAGAATTTAGATGCCTTGAAACCCTACTCCCTCCATCCCAAATTAGCTGCTTTTTTTTTTTTAATATATAAACATATTTTTTCTATTTTAACCCTATTGTTATCTATTAACTTTAATTATCCACTTTATCACCAAAATTCTCATTATCTTTATTTTGTTTTCGAGAGTAATATAGGTGAAAATATAAATTGTATACAAATTCTTAATTGTATATATTATTTTAAGATGAAGGGTGTAATTATTAGTATGTGTTATTAGAACATCTACACACCTATGATTTTAGTTTCCAGTCAGTTGTAAATTTTCCAGCCTTACTAGAGTGGCAGTCCACAATTACCCTTTTCTACCCAGCAAGATCCCTAAATTAGAATTAAAGGTTTCACTTGGTTGTTTGTCCTTATCTGTTTGCCTATCTCCCAGTTCATTATAATCATATGAATTTGATGAAGTTTCCAGTCACTTGGTTGTAACCTCAATATTCAACTTGTGTATGGTGATTTTTTCTTCTTCCTTTCAGGAAGCTGCAGAGGAATCCAAGAAGCAGCGAACTGAAATGCATTCTGATATGGACAATCAGGATACTGAAGGTAAACACCAAACTGATAACCCAGGACCTGAAGATGGCTACAACAACAATGATGGGGAATATGAGACATTCGGCAATGACGTTGATTTTGCCAACACGGATGAAGCTTATGATTACAACGACAATGATTATGGTTATGATGGATTCTGATTTTTATGGATTACCTTTTTATCTTAATGGTTTCAGTGACCTCCATTGCCTGTTTGGTTCTTCCTTATTAGAAAGATCAATGTTAGTAGTTTTCAAGTGGAGTATGTTGTTGTTACT